AAGTTAATTCTCAATATTAATTCATAAGCAATTTTTATTATCGCTATACATTTTTCTGATAGATTTCAAATATATTGTATATATCTATATTCTTTTGCATACATTTTTATATCAAAGTTTTTAGCATAATGTCCAGATTGTTTATTGCTTATGAATATAACAGATGGTACCTAAGAACAAGTAGAAGCTGCATTTATATACTAGTTCTTTTATTAAGAATTCTGTACAATTCATATTTACGCATTGCAGATACATCAATATGGGTACAAATTCAGGTTGTTGGGATATCAGCATTCCATTTTAATCTTTAAATAAAATTCATAAACTTTGGCATTGTCAAGAGGAAGATGAAAGCTTCTCTACAATAGTCCAAAAACTAATTTGCAGAATTTCTAAAATAACAAATTGATTTATGAGATTGAAACATCTATTTTTTTGCACCCAATTTAGTGCATACAGTCCAACCTGTTGCCCAATAGCTTATAAGAAAGCATTATTTAGAAGCATTAAATAAAAATACTAAAATAAGATCTTGGTTATATTAAAGATAAATTTTCATGCCCTTTCCTGAAATAATGCTTTTTTATCATAAAAACACAGGACTTGGTATCATTAGATCAGATTTTTGCAATCCTAGTTCTAGTATTTTCATTTTGCTTTGAAGAAATTCTAGATAATGCAAATTTATGTCTGATTGTGGATCAACACTGCTACAAAATAATGTTCATTCTAATTGAAAATGATACAGAAGGATGACTTTCTGGATTCATATCTGTGAGTGCTCAAATACCTATCTATACAAATGATATATCTGCTTTCACAGTGGTTTCAATTAATTTTGTTTTGTTCTTTTGTTAACAATAACATTAAAAACATTTTAGGAACTTAATCTAAAGGGCAGACAGACTATTTTAGGAAATTAATACTATGGGGCTGTAGTGTATATCCATATTCGATATTTGACTGATAATTTGTTTTTAATTAATTATTAATTTACAGACATTTGTTTATAAAGTCACCTTGCAGTTACTGTAAATTAAGAGTGTTTTAAATAAAACTGTTTAAAAATAACAAGTGTTTTAAATAAAAAAAATAGGGCAAATTTTCCTTTTCATTATGCCTAACTATCTGTTTTACTTACTTTGTATTAGTTGGGTAGTTTGTCACTCGATTGGTTTTCCTAATAATCCATCCTTCATACGGAACAAATATCCTTGTTTGAAAGTGTCCCGAGTGATGCAACTGGAAGGGCTGAGATTGGATCCAAAATGCTAAACTTTTATAAAAATATGAAATTGCTTCAGGGCAAAATAACTAAGATTCACATTGGAGGAGGTTTGAAGTTAATATTTCTTAATAACAGAATAAAATAATGATTTGTTTGTGTGCTTTCAACGTTCTTATACTTCCATCAAAAATATCTTGTTGAGTTCCCTATTATTTAGTTTTAATTTTTTTGTTGTTTAGCTGCTGCATATTACATTAATTGCACTTATCTGCATTTAAAGAAAGATGCCATGTTTTGGCTAGGTAAATGTCATTTTATAACTTTTCAAAATCAATGTTATGAATACAACATAAGACATTGGTAGTAAATGGTACTCAGTCCCTTGGGATATTCCTAGATATTTCTATTCATACGTAATAAAGACACAATCTTGGGAATGAAGATGAGACAACTGAAGGATAGCCTCTTGCTAGCAATGTCAATATTATTGTAATTCTCATGCTTAAATAACAATGAATCTACCAAATAATTGCTAGATTCATTCAATATGCTATCCAATAGTCCATGATTTACAAATTATTCTGGCTGGATTAATGCATTACACTAAGCCGCAAACAAAGCAGTTTGGTTTTGTATGTTGTGTGAACGTAGTCAAACTCAAAAGTGGGGAGATGAAAAAGAAATTAGTTATCTACCAAGAACAGAAAACCTCCAACCTTATGATTCTATGGTAATGATCAGAAAATCAGGAGAGCTTGGAATTATAGTCACTTTCCTTCAGATAATAACAGTGGTCTTGCACTTATTCCAAGAATCAAGACAAAGTTTATTTATTTATTTATTGAATTTATCTTGCTGCCTATTCACCCATGGCAACTCAAGACGGCTTACAGAATATATTACAGAATATATACAGAATTTATACTTACAGAAATTACACTGTGCATGTGGCTTATAAGTGTGCTTTTAAAGGTGAGATCGTTTGAATGTGTTACAAAACAGTTGCACTAAGCAGCTGAGATCCAACTGGTGTCAAATGATAGACTAATCCCTATCATTTGATCTCATTCCATTGTTTGGAATTATTTGTATGACAATGTTAGCATTACCTAACATTGCCTATTTATATTTAGCATCGTCCTTGTTTTTGTTAACTTTACTGAAAGATTATTCACATAAAGAGAAACTAACTGTAGATGACATCTGTGGTAGTTAGAACTCTAGCAGTAAAAGAACAAAGGATAAAAATATATCTATAAATATAATCCATGTAGAGCAGAGTAGAGTATAGAAAAGGAGTATTTGACTGCTTTTTTTGGGTAAAATGTGAATATTTTAAAATTTGAAAACAGAATTTCTCAAAATGCATTTTAAGGAAGAATTATAGTCAAATTCAATTAATCAATTTATGTCTTCAATTATAGTACATTAATACTGACTTGATTTTCTCCATCAATAGTGGTTGTAAATCCACAATTTATTGGCATGGGTCAGAGGAAAATATTTATTTAAGTTTGATGTTAGCAATAAGATGTTCTTTGCTACAGAGATCACAACCAAAGTACTTATTTCATCATATTACTCATAGAATTTAGTTAAAGTGCATAATGATTTAAAATTTCTATTGATTATTGTTAATAGGAGTCCATAAATGAAGCTTTTAAATGGTTGTTTCAGCGTTTCCATGAACATTGAACATATTAAATTAAGTGTTTTGTAATTTCAGATTTAACTCATAAAAAGTGAGTATGTCACATAACCCACAAATGTTAACAAAATTAAATTAAAACCACAAAACCTGGCTTTAAACGTGAAATATTTTGACTCATGGAGGACGTAATTCTTCATTTCGAAGTTCTTTCAAAATCTTTCTTTTAGATAGCTATCGCACCTCTCAGTGTAAAAAGAAATCTTCATGACATCATAATACTTTGCCTAAAGCAGTACATATTATTGAACGTAAAAGATGAGATTTTATATGATTCATAAAACACACATTTTTGAAGAGTGGTATTCAAAAGAGGGTACAGTTACCATAGTGTTTCTCTGCTAATACTAGAGTACAATCATACATAGCCTAGGACTCTGCTGTTGCTTCAGTCCAAACATTGTTCAGTCCAACACTTATTTTCCAAGTTACTATTGTTTACAATGATAAATTTGTCAATTAGCCTAAAATGGTTTCAGCTGTTCTTGTTGGAAGTAGTTTATTAAAGGCAAGATCTTCTTGAATAGAATTTTTATAATCATATACAACGAAACACCTCAGAATTGCCAGTGTTTACTACATTAATGTTTTCATCTACTTGCGGTGCAAGTTGTCCCTACAGTTGGAACCTTGCAAAACACACAGCAGATTTAGTGACTTAGAAATGCTTCAGTCACACTCTTATGTGTACCTTATCATTGTTTGCATAGATTTAGTATGCAATTTATGGCATTCTGGATGTTGGTTACCTCAGAAGTATGGTCACTGATGATACGATGATGATGGGAATACAATATTTGCTTAACTCTGCCTTTGTGCAGTGTGTGCACAGTCAATATTATACGTTTTCCATATATCTCCCTCTGTGCCATCTAGTAACCCAGCCAACAGACTTTCATACTGTATGCTGCAAATACATTGGGATCTTTCTGGAAGGGAAGAACGAATTTTGGGTTAGAAGAAGATAAATCATGTGATATAGGGCTATCGTATCAGGTTTGCAAAAATCCAGGGAACCTCAAGGTGGCAGCAAAGAGACCCAGAACGCCCTCCCTCCCCACCATATAGTGGAGAGATTTTAGCAATACATATATGGAAGTTTAGCCATACATATATGGTAGCACGTATCTGTAGTGGACAGATTTTGGCAATACATATGTGATGTTAATCCTGCAAGGAAATGTTCACATGCCTCCACTTTGGCAAAGTGAAGTCTTCATCTCAGTATACTCTGACAGAGGGGGCATAAATGGAAATGTCAACATTTAGGGTATAAAAGTTATTCAAACATTTTAATTTTGTTTATATTTTGCAATATTTCATTGCATATTTTGAATAACATAATACAATACAATAGTTATTTCTGACCCGTGAAGAGGCAATTGACGTTAACCTTCTAACATATCAATTGGAAGAAGCTATTTCCCATATATTCTATTGGCAACAAATGTCTGATACCAGAGAAGAGAATGAGCCTCAACTTCAAGTAATCTTTCTCAAGCAGACTTTCACAATCTGATGCCCTCCAAATATGCTGGGGCTACAATTCTAGAATTCCCAGGCAGTCACAACTCCAGAGCACAGGTGTCAAACTTGTGGCATCACATTGCCGTCATGTGACGTATTGCAACGTTTTTCCCCTTTGCAGAGCTGGAGTGGGCATGACCTGTGTGTGACACATCCGGCCCACAGGCCGCCAGTTCGACACCCCTGCTCTAGAGGAACAATTCGATATTTGCAGATCTCTCCATAATATCTTGATAGAAGTTGATTGCTCATGCCAGTGTTGCCAGATGTGCAGTACACTGTCTAGGAAGTGTTCCCCTTGCTTTTATTGATTTCATTTTATTTTTCATCTGACAGGCTTCTTAGGAGTGTTGTAAGGAGTCTAGCCAGTTGGTGAGCTCTCTAATCTAAACCAGCTGTTCCTAGATTGAGGCCTCCCATTTGCATTGTTTTAACATACTTAGAAAATGAAGTATTCATTTTTAACATTCCTCCTCCAATTGGTTTAATGCTGAATTACAGAAGAGAACTAAGCAAAACCAGGTGCTTTTGCTGTATTCACTCCAGTGTCTGAGGAGGAGCAGACCTCTCTGATTCCCTTCCCTCTTCTCCCCTCCCTCCTCCTTCCTTCCCCTTCTTCCCCTCATTCTTTCTGTCTCTCTTTCTCTCTCCCCGTTTCTCTATGATTTGGCCTTTCATTCTCTGGAAATTAAATGATGGTAGGTCTGAAGTTCTAGCAAAAGATTTAATGTACAAAAGTATTTTTAGATATTCAGCTGTACGGGCATTATTGTTTTACCTCCTTGGCTTTATTCATCAGTTTTGGACATGACAGCATTTAAAAGGTATGTTCTCTGCATTACGTTACTATTTTGTTTCTTTTTTGATAGTTTGCTGAATGCAGTTCTGAGTCAGCTACTTAAGTTATACATCCCATTATATTTGCAAGAGATTGTGCGGGAGAGGGGAGGAATAATTTTATTCCTTTAGTATTATGTAGATCTAACATCTGACAATATGCCCCTTTGTACTGAATTCAGCTGTTTATCACTGAAGCCATTTACAGAGTCTATGAAAAGTTTTTGTGCAGAAGTGCATCAACATTTATTATAGACCAAAATCAGTTTACAGCAGCGGACTGTGTTTTAAAAAAATATTTTGCACTAATATGCTGCTGACTAACTCAATTTCTCCTGAGGGAACTGTACAGACATATCATATGCTGTGGCTATTATTTTTTTTCCCGTGAAGATAACTATCTTGAAGAAGTAGTTCCAGATTGAAATCTTTTAGGAGGACATTTCTCTTATTTTTCAAAGCAGGAAAAAACAAATTGCTTGAAAAAAGAGGAAGTAACTGAAATTATAAAGAAAGATTGAATTGGTTTTTACATTGTTATTTACTATTTCTATAGCTGTGCTTACTGTTCTTTATGGGGTTTCATAAAGGAAATATCACTTCACCAAAGAATGTACAGTTAGATTTTTAAAAGAAGATACGACCGAGAAAGGGATACAAAATAAAAGGGAAATATCTGGCATTTTCAGTTACTTCAGCTATTAGATTTACTTTCCTTCAGGTGTGGCCTCTTTTTTCTTTTAATGCCTATGAAAATGACTCCCTGTCAAGCAGTGGACACAACTAAGAGGAATATTTAGTAATATTTTTAACATAAGAGATTTCTATCTCAGGAGGAAAAATTATTTAATGACTAGCTATTATAGGAAAGATTCAGGATTCAGCAGAATTTTTCCTGCTCTAGCAGAGTAATTATTTATCTTCATACGTTCCAGTCATGCAAAGTTCTTATGAGATATGACTCTAATCTGTATATGTTTGCAGTCATTGGGAGATGTGAATTTGTTTGTCAGGATGCCTAGATTGTTGCAATGTCCGATTGAATTGGACACTGGTTGTCACTTATGGCCAGTGTTTTGTTTTTCTTTCTTTTTTGTCCTGTGAAGTGACTCTTCCATGAATAGAACAGAATAATAAAGTTGGAAGGTCTTCTAGTCCAACCCCCTGCACAAGCAGGAGACACTATACCATTTCAGGCAAGTGGTTATCTCTTCTTTAAAGCTTCCAGTGATGGAGCAGCCACAAGCCATTCCACTGGCTAATTGTTCTCACTGTTAGAAAATTTATCCTTAGTTCTAGGTTGCTTTTCTCCTTGGTTAGTTTCCATCCGTTGCTTGCCTTCTAGTGGTTTGGAAAATAGATTGACCTCCTCTTTTTTGTGGCAACCTCTCAAAATATTTTATTTTACAAATATTTACAAATTTCCAAAAAATATTGGAACACTACTATCATGTCACCCACTTGTCCTTTTCACTAGTCTATAGATAGCCAATTCCTGCGACTGTTCTTCATCTATTTTAGCCTCCAGCCCTAACAAATAATCTTTGTTGCTCTTTTTTGCACTCTTTCCAGAATCTCTATATCTTTTTAAGAATAGGGTGACCAAAACTGGATGCAGTATTCTAACTGTGATCTTACTAAGACCACAATCTTACAATCTTCCTTGGAATACAATCTTCCTTTGGGATATGCAGTCTGCCTTTGGACTCGCACCATCTCTTGGAAAGATTTTAAGAGAAAGCAGGAAATGATGGATGATGCAGAAAGTTCTTTGAGGTGACTACCTTTGGTCAGTGGTGGGTTGCTACCGGTTCGCCCCGGATCGGGCAAACCAGTAGCGGTGGTGGCAGAAGGCTCCGCCCACCCGCCTGCACATCTCTGCGCATGCGCAGAAGCATTGCCCGCATGTGTCCACGAACGAACCGGTAGTGACGGGATTTGAAACCCACTACTGCCTCTGGTTATGTTGGGACTACAACTCCCAGCATCCTCACCCATTTTCCCTGCTCAGATTCTGCTGTCCTCAGTCCTCATCCATATCAATGGCTGTCTTCCTGTTGAGGGATGAACCATGGGTTTTTCCTTGGTGAAAAAAATACAATGAGAGGACCATTCGGAACTGGGGGGGAAAAAACAGATGTAAAGGAAAGGATGAAAACTCATCTGAATTGCAGCCACTTTTCTCCAGCAATCTTCCTCAATGTGGTACCTTCTAGAATGCTCAGACTGTAACTCCAAGAATTCCTGACCAACAGGATACCTGGGATTTATAGTCCTAATCTCTCTCGGGGGAACTGCTACCAGAGGCTGTTCTGTTGGATATCCCAGTTCCTCAGATATGGGAGCATACTGTATACATTTTGCCTCAGAGCTGGCTATTTGAGACCTGATTTCAGGCTCTGTGATATATAACATTTATATATAATTTGAAGCTACCATAAGTAAATCAATGGCAAAATAACAGAGACCATTATAGAGTCAGTGTTCTTTGCAATTTCAGTCTCTGTTATTCTGCCATTTCTTTGTTTGTTTATTTATTTATGGTGTCTTTAAATCTGTGCTGGTTCTTGGCATCTGCATGGACTATCCCTGCAGTTCACTTGGCAAGACTTTGCCATTGCCTTCTTCCTCAGGTTGAGTGTCAGGCTTGTCCAAGCTTGGACATTTAGGCAAAAAAGACCTTCGACTCCATTTGTAGCAAAAGATATATTTTTAATAAAGCTAAATGGTTACAACATAACCAAAGCTGGATCTCAATATTCCCATTCAAAACCTGCCTTTTCCCTATTTCCCGGCCCCTCCCTCCTTGAACAGTTCATAAATGTCCAATAATATTCGAATTTCGTGTTTTGGCAACACCTTTAAGGTTTGACGCCTCTTTGGTGTAGTTTCGCATCCTGTTCTCATGCTCATGTCCTTGGATGCGCCGGCCTGTTCTGGATTGGCACCTCTGGTTCCTGTCATCTCTCCGCCCTACATTCTCTTTCTCGCCGCTCCCACATTTTATGGCAGGATGCCAGTGAAACGAAGCAGGCTGAAGTGTTTCGGATGGCAGATGTGACAGAGAGAGAAATTGAGTGGCTCAAGGTCACCCAGCTGATTTTGTGCCTAAGCCAGAATTCAAATTCACGGTCTCCCAATTTCTAGCCTGATGTCTTAATTACTACATCAAACTGATTCAGTTCTGCCATGTCAGCTATAAATTATTGCAGGTATTGGTATATATTATCAGAATGCAGTACTGAGGTGTTTTACATTTAGCTCATGGTTGGGAATCTGTGGCCCTCCAAGTTTTTGTTTTGTATTTTAGATTTTTTTTTTACCCTGTCTTTATTGTTTTTATAAATAACTCAAGGCAGAGAATATATTCCTTCCCCTTCTAATTTCCCCCAATACAATTCCATGAGGTAAATTAGATAGAGAGTGGCTGGCACAAAGTCATCTATCGCAGTCTCCTGTTTTCTAGCCTGGTGCCTTAATCATCAGATCAAACTGACTCTCTTGTTTTTTTGTTTGTTTCAAGTTTGTTGCATTGTATATGCATTGTTTGTTGTATTAACAATGTTCATTGTGCTGTCTAGGAACTTTGGTTCAGCCACATTAAAGGTTCTGGTTTCCCACTCTTGCTTTAGGCACACTTTTTTCTCATGTAATTTTGGAAGCTGGGCTATTGTGTTTAAAAACAGCTGGTTTCTATTTAATTCAAATTGCTTTGGTACATATAATAACTTATAATAACTAATAATTTATATATTATACATATAATAACTTTGTTATACCTCTTGCAGGTTAATGCCCATTTTCATGGCTGTTGGCTGCCTCATTGGTCATGGAACGACACAGGTGAGATACGGACTGTGTGTGAAAGAAGGGAAAGGATTACATGGGCTGGCATAGGGGAAAAAGAAAAACAGCACAATATTAAATTTATTATAAACTTTACCAAATATAAAAAATGCATGTGGCTGTGTCATCTCATCTTGCTAGCTTTTGTTCAGTTAGTGATCAGGTTTTTTCATGTCTATTGCTACCAAGAGAAAAAGAAAACATGATATTCCCTCTGATTTATAATTTTGCATTCTTCTAATTGTTCATTGTCTGATCCTCTTTTCTTTTCTGTTTAGCAACAATGCTCAAATGGGTTTGAGATGGATCGTGTGTCAGGCCAATGCTTAGGTAAGATTTTTATTATACCAGTTTGTCTCAGCTAATAGTGTACCATATGTTATAAGCAGTGTGTGCAGGAAACTTTGGGTTATGTTTATATTCAGTATGAAAAAGTATGATTTATTAATTACATCTTCAATTGAATAAGACTAGATTCAACTAATTTAATTGGAACTGACCATAAAAGGGAAGAATCAATGTCTTGATGGCTGAATTTGAAATATAACATCCAGTGCGTATAGCTACAAAAAGACTAATTCTGAAGTCCTGCTTTATAACCAAGAAAATAAAACAAGAGCAAAAAGTAAATAGAACTGCTGCTATTGAAAGCCTGCAGTGAAAATACTAAATAGAGATATAGAACTAAGACATTACGGAGCTTATGGAGGAAAAAATATTTATTTGTTTATTAAACAGATTTATATACGGTAGCTGCCCAATTATTTTGGGTGACATACAACATTAGTTAAAAATTTACAGTTCAACTCCTACCCCCCCAACTCTCACCACACCCGCGATGGCAACAACACAATCAGGCAAACTATTTATTAAGCAGATTTATAGAGCAATGTATTTAGATAGTACATTGATTCTGATGCAAATCTAATAATCAACAAAATGACAGCTTTCTTCCTTCATCACATCAGTTCCCATTTGTAAATAATGGAATAATTCAAGTAATGCCAATATGACATAAGTGTCTCTAAATGCTATCTAGCATGCTTTGCTAACTTAATATCCTCCAGATGTATGGCCTGCATATTTCATTATCATTTCCAGCCAGGCACAACAAATGTCCATCCTGTTTACAAGTGATGGCAGTTGTCATCCATGACACTGGGCAGGAATTAAGTTAGGAAAGTTTGTCATGGCAGTTTAGAAAAGTTAATTCTCTGAAACAAGAATGAAAAGCCTGAAACGCAAGAATCATGGGACCTTTGAGTACAGCCATGAGAAGATCTCTAAACAGTATGGCCAAATCATAATCATTTTACAACAGAAAAGGAAAACTAGGAAATATTTTTTTAAAATATTTAATTAATTAAAAGCATCGGTGATATAATTAAAATGTCAATTTTATTAAATCCAACTCGATTTTTTTTCCTGGCTCCATCCACTTCTTTGATCTGTCTCTCACTGGTTTTTGGAGTACGGCCTTTCAGAGGCAACATTTGGCTTCTGGATCACTTTGGCCCTGCCTGAACAATGCAAGAGACTCAGTGGTCTCCTCTCCTAACCATTCAACCATTTCAGTGTGCGAGTGGGCTCTATGTGCACCAAATGCTACAAGGGAGTTTTGAGAAATTGCAGCTTCCTTTTTTTCTTCCTCTTTGTTATTATTGTTATTCATATAGGCATCTGTATTTGCCATCAAAGATAAATCAAACATAAAAACAAATTTATAAAGCATTATTCAACTCAAATAGGAACTAATCTCATCCAAGGATCATGCTGAATAAGCTGTTTTCTAGGTTTTTGCAGCAGTTGCCCAGAATCTGCTATTCTAAGAGTTGTGTGATAAATCATATCCTAAAGGGTCAGAATGCACATCCCCTGCTGTGGAAAAGAGCTCATGATTTTCAAATGCTAATGATGCTGCATGCATATATCTCAGCCTTCGCATTCTTTCTCTCAAAAGGGACACCCGGATGCATGCATGTTCAAATAACAACATTGGTTTATTATTCTAAATGGGAATAGCCTTTGTTCTCCAAAATGGCTGTTGGCTCTCTGATCTTATTCTTCAGTTTGTTCATGCCTTTCTGAAGTCAGTTTACAGTTTAGTACTCCACGAAAGCGCCTAAAATTTTGCTGAGAGCTTAAACAGAAGATCTTAAATGAATCCTCACAATCCAACATTTTGCACGGTTTACACAAAAAAAGAATATAAGACGCGTGAAATTCTAGATCAAGAGCCAGATTTTACAACCGCCAAATCAAATCTTTGCTGCCTTCAGAAAAAAAAGCCAACCTAAAATGTGTGTGCCAGTGCTATGACTTGAACAGGAAAAGGCTGTCATTTTTGTAATTAGAAATAAAACTCTACAGTAGAGGAAGAACAGGAAATCAGACCATTTCTACTTTTACTGGAAACAAAGAGCAAGGTAAAATGGATTTTTACTCAGCTGATACCAAAATAGGGTCAAATTAGTCTATGCCTTAATATATGGGGTGATCACAACCAACTATAGGTATTCACCAAACCATGGTTTTGCAAACGTCTTAATTCACAAATCACACGTGCCAAAATGAAACAATCCACTTTATGAAAGGTAATCAGTCTAGGGCTGGATATAAAGTTATAATCTGACCTACACTTTGTTAAGATAAGTCATATATCCATAGTGTACTAAATACATCATAACTAGGTTTGGACAATATGATAAGATATGTGCCCTTAGTGCTCTCTGATTTTGAATGTTTTCTTGCAGACATTTCTTTACCAAACTAAGTAGCATCATCAGCGCTAGTAGGGAGAAAGGTAGCACTCATTCGGGTAGCAACGTTTGGAAAAAAACAACCAAGCTCAGAGAGCACCAAGGACCCCACAGTTCAACCATGAGCTACAAATATTCTCTTCTATGATAAGATATAAATCTGATTAAAACAATAGCATCTGGACTCATACAATATATTAAGCCAAAGATGCAATTTTTTGCCAAAGTCTCAACATCTTTTTTGTAATGTGACGACCAAAACTGCATGCAGTATTCCAGGTGTGGTCTTACTAAGGATTTATAAAGTGGTACTAATATTTCATGTGGTTTTGATTCTATGTCTCTGTTTATACAACCAAAGATTGTATTAGCTTTTCTGGCTGTAGTTGCACACTGCTGGCTTATGTTTAAGTGATTGTCCACTAGGACTCCAAGGTCCCTCAGTTACTGTTTTGAACCAGGTTTTGCCTAATCTGTACTTGTATCTTTGGTTTTTCCTGCCTAGGTGTAAAACCTTGCTTTTCTCCATAGTAAATTACATCTTGTTGGATAGGGCCCATTGTTCAAGTCTGTCAAGAACTTTTTGAATACTAAGCTTGTATTCTTGGGTGTTGGCTATTCCTGCCAGCTTAGTTTGATCTATGAATTTGATGAGTTCCCCTTCTATTCTCTTATCTAAGCAATATTGGGAATAAGACCCATCGAACATGCATAGCATTGTTCTGAATATCAATTTAATGGATATATTAGTAAACTTTAGAATCAACAACTGTCTGAGCTTTCATATATTTGTTTATTTATTTGTGCCCATTCTATTTATTTGATCTGATTTATTTGTTTGAAATTAGTGGGTTTTGGTCCTTACTGCTTTACATGTATTGCATTGAGGGTGGGGGGAGGATATTATTAAAAACCAGTCTATGTCTGTAAACTTCTCCCTTTCTTAATCAAAAATGAAAAGCAGCATAAGTAATTTATGATGTGATTAAAAGTAAATACAATATTTAATTAATTAGCTGACTGTAACAACAAGCGATTAATCAGACACAAACTATCAATCAGCAGAGATCCGAATTAATATTTCCATTTCTATATTATTTCAGATGTTGATGAATGCCGCACTATTGCTGAGGCCTGTAGAGGAGATATGGTGTGTGTCAACCAAAACGGGGGCTATTTATGCATTCCACGAACAAATCCCAACCAGCGATCCCCATATACGAATCCTTACACATCCAGTTTGTATCCACCGCCTCCAGTCCCAGCTCCTGTTCCAAATTATCCTACTATTGGAAGAGCACCTCCCATTTGTCGGTTTGGGTATCGAATGAATGAAAACAACCAGTGTGTAGGTAAATAGCAAGATGTTTCATTTATGCCTGTCTTGTGTAGTTTTTTAGCCTATCACAATTTGCTATCTGAACTGTGTGAGAGAGAGGAGGGAGACAGACAGAGACAAAGAGGGAGTACAGGTAGGCCTCGACTTACAGCCATTCATTTAGTGACCATTTGAAGTTACAACAGCACTGAAAAAAGTGACTTATGACCGTTTTTCACACGTACGACCATTGCAGCATCCCCAGAGTAATGTGATCAAAATTCAAATGTTTGGCATCTGACTCACATTTATGACAGTTGCAGTGTCCCAGGGTCATGTGATCACCTTTTTCAACCTTCTGACAAGCAAATTCAGTGGGAAAGCTAGAGTCGTTGAACAACCATGTTACTAACTTAACAAATGCAGTGATTCACTTAACAACTGTGATAAGAAAAGTTGTAAAATGGGGCAAAACTCACTTAGCAAGAGAAATTTTGGGCTCAATTATGGTCATTAGTCAAGGGATTGGTCCAAGCTTTCATGACTGAGGAGCAAAACATTGGCAAATGGCCTGCACAGCATTTTCCTGCTTTATTGTGCCTTGTTTATCTTTCAATAGGTCAATGGCTTCGGTACCACATATGAATTGCTTATTCTGCCAAAGCAAGATATTTATCATGGGAAATTTTTGTTTTGTTATCTTGTCTTTCGGACTATTAGCTTACACGTGAGGCACGTAGCTTCATACTGATGGTTCTGACTGCCAGCTTTATGAACCGTCTAATGCGAGATAAATAGTGAATATATCTCATTCATGTGCCAACCGCCTTCATCAGGAAATACATGATTCTGACTACAGCTGTACTGTTTTCTTTCAAACCTCTTTATGATTTGTTGCTTTAAGAGCTATTTATTTGGGCAATTGCCGCTTTCTTGCATTTTTTTAGTTTTACAGGTAGCCAGTGGTGATATCAATTTTTTTTTACTACCGGTTCTGTGGGCGTGGCTTAGTGGGCGTGGTGTGGCTTGGTGGGCATGGCAGGGAAGGATACTGCAAAATCTCCATTATCACCCACTCCAGGGGAAGGATATTGCAAAATCTCCATTCCCACCCCACTCTGGGTCCAGCCAGAGGTTGTACACAAAATTTCCACTACCGGTTCTCCGAACTACTCAAAATTTCCGTCACTGGTTCTCCAGAACCTGTCAGAACCTGCTGGATTTCACCCCTGCAGGTAGCTCTCATTAAGCAACCACAATTGTCACTGGCAATTTGGTCATTAAGCAATATGGTCACTAACTGAAACCACAAATGTACTTATTTTTTTAATTTAACTTTTCTTTTTTGGTTTATAGACCTGCAAAAGTTATAAATTCAAAGATTGGTTATGAAATTGCATTTTCATCTCCTTTGTAAGTGCAAAAGGACACTAAACGAGGCATTCACTAAATGAAGACTACCTATAATATTCTTCATAGTTGCGGTACAATCTGTTTTGTTTGTGGGACATTGCTCAGGGAAGATGCACATTCCTTATCCAGGCAATTTCAACTTAAAGAATGTTCCATCCATTTTGTGAAACTGACTAAAAGAAATAGATTAGGTATGTTGACATATTTGGATTCTGAAAGTTGGCAAATCCAAGAAAAAGATGGATAGGAGAGAGCACTTTGTTCTGTTCCTCAAAGGATGAGTGGTCAGGAAAGAATTTATTTATTTTTCTTTAACACATGAAAGAATGAACATGTAGATACTGTTTATTGGATTCAATTTAAATAATAATAACCCCCCCCCACCTCCCCAAACATCCATAGTAGATCCTGCCATCTGCAAAGTGACTACTGATCATGATGCCTCATTCTGAGGGAGGACTCCATATCTATTCTTGATTATTGAATAGATACAATAGCAGCTGCTGAGGATTATCATTAATGGTTCCCTACTGGCATTATCATGGATTATCTTAAAACGCACGTTTATCCAATTAGTAACTGGAAGTCTTTCAGCTAAAATTAATTCATGATAAAATTATGTTTTTGAATGTTATTTTGGAATAAACTATTTGTTGTAAGAGAGGATTGTGGAGGAGGAAGAAGACTAACGGAATATGTTGAGAGAGTGAAACCTCGGCTGGATAACTTTTTGGAGGAGGTTATTCTGTCCCATCCCAGATGATGCCAATAATGCTGGTTGCATTTCTTGTTCTTTCTTTATAATTAGACTAATATAGATTGGTTTGCTCTGAATGTTCAAATTGACTACGCAGTATACCAAGTTAATGCTTATTTGCTCTCTTTACATTGATTAGCATTTGACTTGCTAATACGTACATCAAACATCTGTAAAAATTGTTAATTGCACCTGCACTGGATAAACTTGCTGTGGTTTACTTATTATGAGTGAGCCCCTGTGAGACTATATTTTAATGGTGTGATTTTGATTTATTGTTCAGTGTTAATTCATTATCAGTTACTTAAAGCTGTACCTAGGAAAGAGATATGCTTACATCATAGTAGCATGAAATATATCCTTTCCAGAGCTGTTATACAGCATTATACCTGTGACCTCCCCTTATTGTTTGAAGATTACTGTGGTTAAAATATTAGCTAAATATCATCTTTGGCTAATTCAAAAAAGTCGCTCTTTTTTCTTAAATGTATATATGTATAATAACAACTGTAGACTGTTTCTGTGTTAGGAATTCAGCATGGACATAATGCCTAGTTAAAAAGAAATTAATTAGTCATTATAACTACTTCGTTCTGGAGTTGTTAAGTTTACAGAATCGTGCTTTCTCCATATATACAGAGAAAAGTAGAAGGGTGATGCAAAATTAGTCCCAGAACAGACTCAATATCAAAGATTCACTGAAGTGCAAAGAAAAAAAGTACACCCCACTAATCTAAGAGATGAGAGAAAGATCAAAGGTAATGTCCCCTTTTTCACGGAGGTTAGTTAGTTAGTTAGTTTATTTGATTTGTATACCGCCCTACTCCCAAAGGACTCAGGGCGGTGAACAGCCAAACAATAAAATACATAGATACAAAAAATTTAAAAAAACAGATAAAATCAAATTAAACCATTTTGGCCCAGACAGATTAAAACACCCCAATAATTTAAAAACAGATTAAAATTTACGGAGGTAGGTTTGATTGCTGGCAGTCCCTAGACATGAACTGATTGGATAACAGTAAACTGGAAAGACAACAGCTGCGTTGAAAAATTTCAGCTGTATGAAGAAAATCCAAATTGCAGGCTAGCAACTAAAAAAAAAAAAAGGTTACACATCTTACGCAACCTAGATATAATCTTCCTAAAATACAGCAACCCTGAATGAAGGCTGTTTGGCTAGATTCCTTCCACTACTTACTACTGGGTTTTATTTACCTTTACTACCGATTCACAACGGGAGCATGTGCACTTGCTTCACTCGCGTGCTTGTGCGCACACTTCTGCACTGCAGAGATCATACCGTATAACATCTGGGCAGATGGGTGGAGCCTCCCGCCGCTTTTACTATCAGTTTGGAAGAACCGGACAGAACCAGGAGCAACCCACCACTGGTTCCTTCCCTTTTATGCCATTGCAGGTGACTGCCTTTCCCTGTAAAATAAGTTTGGTGCATTAAATCAGGGGTCCCCAACCCCCGGTCCATAGACTAGACTGGCACTGGTCCACAGCATGCCAGCAACCGGGCCATGCAAACAAGCAAAGCCCCATCCATGGTATGCAGGCAGTACGCAAAATCATGCCCCCTCTGGGCCATGGAAAAAACTTTCTCCACTGAACTGTTCCCTGGTGCCCAAAAGGTTGGGGGTCTCTCCATTAAATGCTACGCATGTCATGATAGGAACCATGTCTTCTTTTATAAAGATTGATGGAAAACAAGCTGACCAAGTACCTGGTAATCCTTCCCTAATTATTGTCCTTGCTTCTTTGGAACAGCCCTAACCTTTAAAATTTAGTGTGGCTAAGTTAAAAAGTGCACACATAAAGGATTCCCCTCTCCTTTAGTTTTAAGTCTACACTCCTCACATCTCTCCCTAGGTCCCCTTGGAAATGTTTCTAATTTTACTTTGGGATGGTGATTCCCTGCCCAAAATTAGCTTTCCCAATTTTTTAATCCCTCTACATCGGTATTCTTAGCACTTTATGCTCCTTAGTTTATTTTCATATTCTTTTTACAATTAGCCTTTGGATTCAGCCATCCTATTTTTACAGATGTAGAATTGAAGCTGAGGCATGTTTTTTCCCACCCAATGAGTCCATTTTTATGAGCTGGAATTTGAACTACTATTTCAAGTTCCAACTGTAACACCCTGTCCTTTGGCTCTTTTCTTTCTCCATTTGTTTTTCATTTCTGATTGTTCATCTGGGACTAGAGGCACTAAATTTTAATATGTGTTGTCCCTATTCTTAATCATTTTTAGGATGTTTTTCAGTGTTGAAAGCACTGAAAAAGCACCATCTAGTTCCAAATTACAGATTCATTAATTTTTTAAAACAGTTTCTTGGCTTTTCCTTTGCTTGCAGTTCTCCTTTAGTTTTATTCACTTTTATAAATGTGCAGTGAAGAGTTGGTTTCTCACAACATTAAATTCCATAACGAAAAGCCAGTTTTCCTTTCATTGGACAACACAGTACTCACAATGCAATGAGACTTCCTGTCACTTAAGCAGGTTTATCATAGTAAGAGCAGGTCTGAACTGGAAAAAAACCTGATTCTCAAGACATGCAGAATTTAATTATATATTATATATTTGTTTTACTCTTCTTTCTGAGAAATTAGAACAGTGTTCATTTTGCATACAAAAATCCTAAGAGAAATGTTAGACTAAAGTCTGAAGCCCAAAGTTTCTTTTCTGAGCAAGATTAAAATTTAGATTTGTTCAAACCTTCCATTGTAGCAAATGGAATTGATTCTCATGTATATGATTTAGAGTGATGTGAATGAACCTCATAGTAGTTTACTTCCTTCTCTTTCTTCACCAGCCCATATTTGCAATTTACCATGATTAAAAATATGAAAAACA